CCTACACAATCCTCTGTCATGTACTGCAGTGCTAAACTTTTCTGCAAGACATAAGTGTGTTCCATAACCACCAGCCACAGGAATAACTGGGAGGGTGCAGTCTGCAGTATCCAGAGAAGTCTCTAAGGATTTCCGGATTGCCCCACCATCTCCAGTTCCAGATGACTGGCAGACACTAGGCCCAATTCACTCCTATACCAAGAGATCCTGTGTGTAGGGGGGAGAATATGGGTTTTGCCGACTCTACAGCAGCCAGGGAGTCCCCAACATGAGGAGACTTCCTTAGAGGCTGGATCTGCCATTTTCAGGGTGGATTGTGACAGCCATTTAACACTGCACAGCAACATGGCATGGAACCAAGAAGAGCACTGTATCCACTGGAAACTGACAGGCAAGTGGAGGCTCAAGATGCTATTGAAAGTTTCTCTAATGGACTCAGAGCCAACATTCAGCTGGGCCTGGTCTCTTTGGTAAAGTTCCTCCCCATGTATCCTCCTCATTCCCATGGCAGAATCTGCCACTCCCTTGTCATTCAACACTGACACTGTACCGGCCTCTGCTCTGGCACACTGCATGTGAGTGCAGCTCTCCTTGCACTGTTTGTTTCCTCCATGCCATCTCCTTCCCACTGGAAGCAAGAGAGGCTGTGATGACTTTGGGGCAGTCCTACCTTTGTAGCCGTTTCATGCTCAGCCACTGCACCTGCTGCTGCTGCTCGGATGTGAGCGGGTTGGAGAGACTGCTAGCACTCAAGCTGTGAATCTGAAGAGGAGATTGCTTTAGTACCTCTGCAGCTTGCTCCCCTCTTTCCTTTGTCCCCAGACAGTATCTTTATAAGGCATTATAACATTCATCAATAAATGGCACCCCAGATTCCTTGAGATCTCAGATCATTAGCAGAATCAACAGGGAGAGACTCAAAAGTGACCGATTCAAACAATTTCTCTGCATTACCTGCCAGGTTCTGAGATTGAGAGAGAAAGGTACTGTCCTGGACACAATCTGGGTGCCTGTTTCCCATGCTACAACCAATGCTAACCCTTGCAGATTCCTGTACAGCAATCATTGCAGGGAGGGGGCAAAATGCTTTACAAGGGTTAATGAATTTTGCTCCACCCCCATCCCCATACAAGACAGGGAACTGTCATTCTTCCCATTTCACAGCAACAGAAACAGAGGCATACAGAGATTAAACCACCTAATCAAGATTGCTCTGTGACCCTGTGGAGAAGCCAGGAGCACTGTGACCACACAACCATCATCCCTTCCACACCACTTAACTGTCTTTGCTCCCAGGACGTAGGAAATGATATATTCGCTGGATTCCTGTGCTTCGGGGATCCTGTTTGCCTCAAACACACCATGCCAGTATCTGACCAGTTCAGCAGCTGTCGGTTTGGCACTGAAATTCTGCCTCGGAAGCAGGTGATGGGGGTTTAGAGAACAGCACTTGGAAGGACGCCCTCCTTCCCTTTCACAGCAATTCAGGAGGCCTGACAGCATCCGGCGCAGGGGGCTGGTGAGAAGCCTCATTTTGTCAAAGGCCACTTATGGTTTCCAAGATGCCACGTGTGTCCTTTCTTCCCAGGCCACCTTCACCCGGTTGAGCCAATCCCAAGTCTTGGCAGGTAGGAGGCACAGTGTCCTCACCACCTGACACTCTCACATCACCACTGCTACATGCCCATCAGACACTGCTGCTGCAGGAATCTTCTCACGCCCACACCCTTCAGGCACGTTCCTGACAGCGAGGCTCCAGCTAAGGGCGTCACTCCTCTGCTGAGCTGGAGAGAGAGAGAGTGCACATGTGGCATATGGGTTAGCAAGTCTAAAGGAATCCACTCAGCAAAGAATCCACTCCTCTCCCCAGTAAAGCATTCATGGTCCACACAACAGCACAACTATTCTTCTTCTCCCCAAATGCATCTACGTCTAAAGAGCTGAGATTAAACAGCAGGGAGCTAGTAGGGGCAAGACACAGGGATTAGGAAATGCCTCTCAGTCACCGGCGCCATTTTGCCTTGGTCAGTAGCAACTGAGAATTACCAAACTACTGCCAGAACTGGCTCCAAGTGCTCCCCGCTGGCATCCAGAAGAGGCAGTGACTGGAGGTGGAGTCCAGACTGTAGGTGGCTGTTGCAGGGCTAAGGCAGGTTGCTGGAGCAGCATGTGGGGACCATGGCCTGCTGCTGCTTGGGCCACGGATAAACAGACTCCAGGCTTCAGCACCAAAACCTGCTGGCAAGGTGTAAAATGGTTCCACAAGCACAAGGGCCACTCAGCTAGGATGGGCCTGGCAACACATTTGGTCTGGGAGGAGTCAGGGCACTTCTTGGTCTTGGACCTTTTCGTCCCACCATGCACCTGAGGCGGCTCCATGGGGCTGCCTGTCCTCGGCCCTGCTTCCAGTCTCGGCGCCTTGCTCCTCCCAGTCTTCCCCAAACTCTGCCTTGGGGCGCTGTCCCAGCTTTGGCCCGGGAGGGGATGCGGCTCCTCTCAGCCCCGCTCCCTGCGGCGGGCGGGGGGGGTCCCCGCCCCCCACC